GTGCTGAACCCTGCTCCTGGCGGGCCCGGGCCCGCCATGATGGATCTAGTGGCCATGTTGGATTCCTCTCCCATCTTGGGCCTGGCAGCCATCTTGGATTCGCCCAGGAGTCTGACTGTGACAGCCATCTTGGATTTAGAGGCCATCTTGGATTCCCCCATCAGCTTCGGCCTCGCAGCCATGCCGGATCCTACCGACAACCGGCGCTCAGAGGCCCTGTTGGGCTGGGCCGCCGCGGCCTCCGTCCCCGCCGCGGCCTCGCCCGGCCCTTTGGGGTAGAGTATTCGGATGATGGTGATGGGGAACAGGGCGATGAGGAAGGAGAAGCCCCAGGTGGGCCTGACCGGGTCCCTGAAGTGGCGGTTGTAGCACACCGAGGTGCAGAAGGTCCGGGTGTCGGCCTCCTGCCCGGGGCCCCAGGCACACGCGATGTCCTGCTGCGCGCTCTCCCACGGCGCGCTGGCGAAGTACATGGCCAGCAGCCGCAGGCCCAGCAGGAAGAACCAGTGCTCCAGGCCCTGCCACTGCACCGACCCCGACAGCGCCGACAGCACCGGCTGCAGCAGGCTCACCAGCGAGGAGATGATGATCATCTGGCAGGAGAGAGGCGCGGTGGGGAGTGGCACCGGGGACAGAGAGGGATGGCAGCATGCCCACATGCCACCCATGGGAGAGGGAGCTCGCAGGCTTCCATTCCTCTCTGCGTTCTGCCTGTCTCGCTGTCTGTCCGACTGTGTGCCCGACTGTCTTTCCGACTGTCTGTCTGCCTATCTCGCTGTCTGTCCAACTGTCTTTCCGACTGTCTGTCTCTCTGACTGTCTGTCTTTCCGACTGTCTGCCTGCCTGCCTGTCCAACTATCTGACCATCTATCCATTTGACTGTCTGTCTGCCTACCTGCCTAGCTCAGGGCCAGGCTACAATGAGCACTGAGCCCCATACAGCTGCAATTAAGACAACCTAACTCCCAGTATAAACGGCACTAAGTCAACGGCACAATGTTTCTGTCAACCGAGCCGCCGGATCGTGGGAGGTGGATTCACCAGGGCGACGGGAGAACCCCTCCTGGAAGCATAAATGGCATCCACACAGGGGAGCTTCCCCTGGGAGGGATCGTGGGAGGTGGATTCACCAGGGCGACGGGAGAACCCCTCCTGGAAGCATAAATGGCATCCACACAGGGGAGCTACACCTGGGAGGCACCTGCCTTTCCAGACCAGCCCCTGGACGCGGCGACTGCAGGGCCAGTGGGGACCTCTGGGATTGTCAGTCTCCCGTGGGGCCTGCCATCGGTTCCCATTTCCACGGCCTTGCTCTCCGGCTCCTTCCCTCCTTCTCGTGACTTCGCCTGCCGCGTCCTCTGCTCCTTGCTCCCTTCGCCCCCGTCTCTGGCCTCGGCCGGGACTGG